GGCTCCACCCCCGCGCGCAAACAAACGACCGGCGGCCTGTCGATTGACGATTGTTCATGACGTAGTTGCCAGACAAGTCAGAGTGAGCGCGAACGTAAGACTGCCAGGCTAAGTGATACCCTAAGTATGTTTTTTTTTGTGCATCGAATCTTTTTATACGATCGCTACATATATTTGGCAGTAGCTGACAGTGGAATCGAACATATAGATATATATGTATATATACACATATCTTATTTGAAAACACTTTTAGCATATTGAAATGAACTCGAGAATTTTCAAATACATTAGATAAGAAACTTTAAGGGTACGCCAGGAAAGTTCTGTGGGAGAACAATTACCTGTAATATATTATCAAATGGCATTGCTCTATCTCATTTATCTATTAACTATTGCACATTTCGATACACCCTCTAATCATTTTAATGAGCATAGGGTATCAACAAGCAAAAAATACTGAAATCTGGTTGTTGTTTTAGCTGCCTCTTGTTGTGCTGGTTGTTTGCGGTGTGCGTCAGCAGTCCGGAACTGGAACTCCAGCTGCAGCTGCCCTGCCCTGCCCTGCCCTACACAGTACTGACAACAAAGACAACAACAACAACAACAACCATATCGACAGCATTATGGTAGACATTTTTATGATCTAGCCGAAAAATTGAGTGGCCATCGGAAGTCAATCAGGTTGCAGCTATGCATATACATACGCATTCTAGAAAAACACTTGACTCATGCCAGATTCTAATTGGAATGCAATGAGAATTCGTCAAATTGAACGGATTCTATTTGCAGCTAACCCTAATTTCCCAGATCTTATCAACTCTCGTTGAAAATTGTAAGCTAATCGAAACTTATCCAAAACTGAAAGAAGAGTCTGAACAACAACTCTTCGAATTTCACGCCAAAATTAATGTGGCAATTGATCAAGGTTTTTCAAATTTAATTGCTGCAAATATTCAAAACTCATGTCAATCATTAGATACACATATAAATTTATGACGGATCAAACATATTGTGGCAATCTATACAAATAAATATATGCCTATTTATATGTATATATAGATATATATTGGATCGTTAGTCGCTGAGGCTGAAACATTCCTTGATTTGATTTTAATGCGAATGTTATTCGAATATAATTCATATGCGATCACATGATCTCTCTCACAGCTCAGGCGCAACCATTTGCGTTATTATTAAATATTTGATCAAATGGAAAACATTTCAGGGATCGCTCAAATGAAGCGCAAAATGTTATGATCGAAAAGTATAGATACAAATATGTACACATATAGAGATCAATAATGTTTGGTATTTATATAATTATAAGCATCAATAACTGCAATTCAACCGTGCAACCTGTGTGCTATATAAAAAACATATCGGACAAGCACTTCTCAGGGTGGGGTCTGAAATGTTGTGACAAAATAAATCAGCACATTTTTCTTTTACTTATTTGAATAATTTCAACATGGCTTGAAATCTCAACTAGTTTTCCGCCATGTTTAATTGCCAACAGCTCAATAATAAAATTTAGCTTTCGTCTCGCTTATCCGTAGCTTCTCTCTGCTTGCAGCTGTTGCATGTGAGTAGGTGCCACGTGGCGTATGATTAATGTGGTGGCAACCCAATTGTGGACTGTGGCAAAGTGTCAGCTGTAAACGCACCATCCCGCCCCCCCTTTTACAGCAGTTACAAACAGCTGTGGCTAACCCATCCCGCCCAATTCGAATGCTCCTTCTGGGAGGAGCGCCTCTGGCATTTATGATAATTTAGTTGTGTGCAATTCTTTGCGCCTCTGGGGAGAGTTTTCATAAAATTATTTTCGCTATTGTCATAAAAGTGAAGTTAACTTAGTGTTTGCAACTGTTGTTGTCGCTGTTGTTGCTGTTATTGTTATGATTATTATTATTGTAGTTGTTTGAACAGCCCAAGGGAAAACGAAGCCGTAGCCGAAAACAACAAAAAAAGAAGCCACAATAATGGCCGTGGAAATCGCATGAATGAGCCGCATATAGCCCCGAAAAGGAAAAGCTGAAAGCTGAGCCTGGTCGACTGGCTGCCGGTTTGGATGAATGTCTGCAATGCCGACATGCGGCGCTTGATTGAATGATTTTATAATATTTTCCGTTTTATTGAGCAAAAGGTCAAAAATTTAAACATATCATTGGCCAGTTAATGGGCTTGGGGCCAACACAGACCCGATACCGTGCCCCGATAAGAGCCCTATACTATGTGCTGTATGTGGCAGCCGATAGACAATAACATGTCACGCCCGGGCATCGTAAATCAAAAATCAACTTTATGATGGCCATTGGCTTCGTCCGCTTCGTGGCGCAAACCGAATGCCGAGCCGCCTGCTAATAGACCCAACAAAAGGAATCAAAATTCAACAAAAAAAATCAAATATATATATATATATATATATATATATACATAGAAGTTCGCTCATAAATGAACATCCTCCCTTATATGAGCTCACGGCACGTAACCACATGAATCGGAAATTAAAAAGGAAATCTCTCGTGTGTAAATACAATAGCTAGTGGCATCCGCATTTCTTTTTTTTTTTTCTTGAACCTGGCTTAAAGCTAACAGTTTCGTACTTATCTGCGCAAACCGAGTCTGGGTTGGGCTTTGGGGAGTAGTAATTATTTATTTGACCAGCTTGTACATACCTGTAATAGAAATAAAAGAATAAAGTTAGTAAATTTAGCAAACACTGATGTAACATTAAAAAATATATAATTCTTGTGCACATTTTTTTCTCGGATAAAAGTTTCGGTGAGTATTTTAATATATGTTGTAATTTAATATAGTGACAGTTGACGGAAAACGATGTGCACAAAAATGTTGAAATCATAAAAAACTATTAGGATAACGTCTTATTAGAAACTATGGAGGTAGAGCTTTTAATGAGCTTTGCTATTGAGTAAAGGCACTTAATTGAAAAGCTTCTTTTCATTCAAGTTTATATATTTTCATATCGAAACTTTTTGTGATTAGAAGCGTTCAAAGTGATTAAACATAAGCTTTTCAATTCGAAAGCTCTTTTGAGCTTTCTGAGGAAAATAACTTGTAATCTAAAAAAAGTCTTTAAATTAAGCTATATAATAACTTTCCAAAACTACAGATTGAAACAAAAGCTGCTAGTGATTTGCCCAACTTCAGATCAATTTCCAAAGCTCCTTTAAGCGCCTTAGGTGAGTTTCTCACGAATCGGAGCTCTTAATGAGATTTACCTGTTGTATAACTTTTACATAAAAAGTTGCAAATTTTAATAAGAGTTCACTTGTTTCTCTACTTTACATTAAATAGCCCACTTTACAGCCTTCAAAATCACTTGACTGAACAAAAGCTCTTCGCTATTTCGCATATTGATTTAAGCTTTCAGTCTAGCAATATAAAAGGAAACAACTTTAGCTTTAAATTGCCAAATCAGAACACAATTAATCTCACTTAAAGCTCTTTTGCCCTAACTACGAGCAGCTGTGATTTAATATGATAACTGCAACTTAGTCAAAATCTATACTTCTCAAACTTTCGAGTCCAAGATATAGCAGGAGACACACAAGAAAAATAAAAACCTAAAGAAAAAAAAAAACTAGCCGCTTAACTTGGCTATCCATCAGGAAAGTTGTGTATTTTTCAGGCTGATTAACTTGCATGCCTGTCGCAAAACTCATAATCATCAATCTATCTAAGCAAGTTTTGTACAACGGCTCAACCATATTTGGGAACCACGCCCCAAACTCCGCAATGGGCCGCTTACAAATTGCCCACAATTGGCCATACTCAGGCGACACACTCTTGAGTGAAGCGGCTGTTGTCCGTCCGGCTATCTGGCTATACGGCTATACGGCTAGGCGGCTGTCCGACTGTCCGGCTGTCCTTTAATCCGTCCGTCTGGCTGTCCGTTCGGTCCGTCCGTTCGTTTAGCTGTCAGTTTGGGCAACAGGACACTTTGTTTGAATGTTATTTATGAGCTACTTTTGTTGTAATTCAAGGAAATCGCTTGGCTGAGCTGCTTTTTCAACAACGGCCGCCATAATTTATGCATACGCCAGCCGAAACACCCTGTGAATGGTTTGAATTGGGAGCTTCTTCGAGTCCGTGTGGATTCCCTTCCATACCCCAGTAACGGCCCTTTCAGTCAACGACCGTGCACTGCCTGTGAATTATGAACTGCTGCTCAAACTTTGGGCTGCCAGTCAGTCGGACTTCTTTTCTAATTAGGCTTAAGCCGCGAGCAATCTTCTCCTTGTCCCAACCTCCCTATTGCTGGCATCAAATGTCGCTCCACTTGGCGAGCACGTGTCAAGGATGATGGCACGAGCGGCTCATCGGATAAAGGGTTCTGGCTGAAGCTCAGCAAGAATCGAATTCGATATAATAACTATCGATAGTCTTAAAATTTTACATTTAACAACCCTTAAACCCTTGAATCGTGGGCTCACTTCTAGTTTGTTGCCCTTTGTCTGAGACCTTCAGTATTTATCGACAGCGATAACTATCGATTGTTTTTTAATACTCTGAAGTTTAACAAGATTCGAAGTATATAATTTCACGCCGACAGCGATAACTTTCGATAGCTTTCATGCTCATACTCTCACTTTTCACGAAATATGTATGTGGAAGTGTTAATCTTAAACATATATCGTTTATTTCAAATATTAAATACTTCTCAATTGTTAGTTTTACCTCACAAGCGATTTGTTATAGATTTCGCGTGCTAAGCAAAGCACACAGAAAGCTTTTTGAATTAGTTTCTCAAGCTTGTTATTGCAATTTCATAAGCTTCGTATTAAATAAAAATGATTATGATTAAGAACAAACATGTTTAAGGCGCGCCTCAGGCGGCTTGAATCGCCAAATCTTTGTGGCAACCCTCGCGCAAATAGAAGCCAAACATAAAGGAGCAGAACGCAAGACAAGAAAACAAACGTAAACTGAAGCTTAACAGAGAAAGAGAGAGAAAGCGAGAGACTTAAGGCTGAACATACCCATCCGCATAGAGGCCACCGGCTGCTCCACTTCCGGTCATGGCGAGCGCCTTGTAGCGAGCCTGCTCGTCGGTGGGCAGGACAATGTCCACGGATCGGGAGCGCGTTGCATTGACATTGGGCACGGCGAGGAAACAACCGTCATCGGAAGGCTGTAGTTCCTCGGTCTTGCCGCCAGATGAGAGCTTCGAGAAGCACGAGTCTACCGAAGCGGCTCGATCGCGCTTCAGATCGGGCACGGTTAGATAAATGTCTCGCACCACAAATGCTGCATGATGGGCAGCAGCGGCAGCGGCTGCCGTCGGAGAGCCACAGGTGGCCATGGTGGAGGCTTCCTCGAGCGAATCGGCGGTGTCTACTGATGACTTGGTGGTGTCCACCTCCTCGTGCGATACATTCTCCAGCGAGCTGCCGGTAGGCTCCACAAAGATGGCTTCCTGTCGCGAAATGGAGCGACGTCTGGCCCGTCCCATTGGTACGCCCATAGCAGCGCCAGCATCGTCGGCATCGGCGCTGACGCAGCTGGCCGCACCACTGGTGGCAATAGCCGGTAGAGTTAGCGCTGCAGCGGCAGCGGCCGCAGTGGCGCCCAACTGCTGATGTCCAGTTGCAGTTGGCGGTAGCTCCAGCAATGGGCTGGCCCGTGCGACGGGCATGGGCGACATGGGCGGTGAGCCGGGATCAATGGGGAACGCATAGGTCGGAAATGGTGGATAATCGCCATTGGTCGGCGAGAGGGTGAACGTGATGCCGCATGGCGTGGTCGGCTGCGGTGGCAGCAGCGTGTTGCCAAAGTGCGGAGAGCCATGATCGGAACTCTCCAGACCTTCATCCTCAGAGGTGGTCACCGAGCTGCCAATGGTGTGGCGGCGCATCTGGCGCGGTAGGCGAGCTCGCGACTCCTCAATGCTGCTGCCCATGCTCATGCCCATGCTCAGATTGGACATGCGTATGTCCATCTCGACGGCAGCATCGTCGTCCAGCTCAGTGCCGCCGCTGGCGTCTGGCTCGCTACAGACATTCACATTCACCTCCGCATCGGCCTCCACATCGGCTTCGGGCTGCGCCTTCGCCTGTGCAGCTGCATCGGGATCCGCGTCGGAAGCGGCACCAGTATCAACGGGGGCAGCCGCCCCATCTGCGTTGTCATCCTCTAGCGCCCCGGAAATGTCCTCATCATCGCTTTCCTCGGAGCTGGTGTTGCTGCAGCTGAGAGTCGTTAGCTCGCGATGATCAATGAAGTAGCGCTGCTCGGCGCTCATCTGCTTTTCGTACTGTTCGACGTAGTAGCAATGGATGCACGGCGGCGGTGTCTTTGTCGATGAGCTGCGTCGGGCCTTTAGGCGGCGCGGCACCTCTAGAAAGGCGCCAGAATCATCGCTGCCCACCGAGGCAGCCGCCGAGTCGAAGCTGTGCGAGCGTTGGGCATGGGCTGCCTGCGGTACCTGCAAATATCCGCCCTCCGATGATCTCTCGTCAGCCGACGAGGATGACTGCTGCTTCAGCAGATGAGCGGACGAGCGCTGCGCCTCCAGCTGCATCTCATCGAACGAGGCGGAACGCACCTAAATCCAACAGAGACAGGAAGAGAGAGAGAGAGAGAAAAAGAGAGCGAATAACGTAGCTGCTCACACGCGTCACCACTCAGAGACAGACGGAGACAACAAAAGGAGAACAAAAGAGTCAAAGAGAGGAAACTTGGGAATTCACGAGGAGTTCATGCGGGCACAACACAAAAGCCGGGACAATATCTATGCCCCAAAGAAACAAGAGTCAACAACAAAATAAAAGCAAAAGCATAGAAAAAACATTCAAACAGAAACGATTAATTATCGAACATGCAGCGTTGTTATTGCATATGATTAGTACACTGCAGATTATCGATAAGTTTGTGGCAACAATAAAAAATAAAGCGTCGATAATATATCAGCAGTTATTCGATAAGATGTACTATCGATAACTCATCGATAACTGATCGATTATCCAACTAAAACAACAATTAAACGATCGTTATTGCGACATCAATTAATCGATAAAATATCAGTAGCCGATCGATTAAATTGTATATCGTAAGGATACACATCAAGTTATCGTGCTGCTTATACATTATCTATAACTGGTCGAAGATTTATCGATAAATCATTGATAACAGATAAAACACAATCAATTGATCGTTAAATCAACTAAAATTGATCGATAAATAAAAGGTTACTTATCGATAACCAAACGCTATTGCACATTGTACCTGCTTGGGAACCTCGAGGCTATTCTGCATTTTCATTTCGGCGCCAGTTGGTGTGCGCGAGCGCGTAAATGTTGTACGTAGACGCTGCATGGTTGTAGATTTGAAGTGCCGGTTGCTGTTGTTGTTGTTGTTGCTAGTTAGTTCTTGATGGGTTTGTCACTTATCGTGGCTGTTCTTGGTTGTAGTTGCTCTTAAGCTAGATTAGTTGTTGTTGCTAGTTGGTTGTTTTTGTCGTTGCCGTTGTTCAGTTGTCAATATTGGTGGTTGTCACTTTTGGTAATTGTCACTGTTGGTTGTTGTTGGCTGTCGTTGTTTCTATAGCCGGTTTAGTTGTTGTTTCAAGTTGGCTGTTGTTGTTCCTAGCCAATTGTTTTAGGGTTGCCACTATTCGTGCTTGTTCTTGGTAATTGTTGCTCTATATCCGGTTTAGTTGTTATTGCTGGTTGGTTGTCGTTGGTGTTGTTCGGTTGTCAAAATTGGTGAACGACGCTTTTGATAGTTGTCACTTTTGGGGGTTGTCACTATTGGTGGTTGTTCTTGGTTGTTGTTAGTTATTGTTGTTTCTATAACCGGTAAAATTGTTGTTGCCAGTTGGTTGTTGTTGTCGTTGTCTTTATTTGTTTGCCACTTTTCGTGGTTGTTCTTGGTTGTAATTATTTATATAGCCAGTGTAGTTGTTGTTGCTAGTTGGTTGTTGTTGATGTTGTTCGGTTGTCAATATTGGTGGACGATGCTTTTGGTAGTTGTCACTTTTAGTGGTTGTCACTATTTGTGGTGGTTCTTACTTGTTGTTGTTGTTGCTAGTTAGTTCTTGTTGGGTTGTCACTATTCGTGGTTGCTCCTGGTTGTTGTTACTCTTAGTTGTTGTTGTCCGGTTGTCACAATTGGTGGACGACGCTTTTGATAGTTGTCACTCTTGGGGTTTGTCACTGTTGGTGGTTGTTCTTGGTTGTGGTTTCTATAACCGTCAATATTCTTGTTGCCAGTTGGTTGTTGTTGTCGTTGCCTATATTTGGTTGTCACTTTTAGTGGTTGTTCTTTGTTGTTGATAGTTGTTGCTGTTGTTGTTTCCTTCGTTGGTTTAATTATAGTTGCTAGTTAGCTGTTGCTGTTGTCGTTGCCGTTAATGGGCTGTCACTATTGCCGGCTGTGCTTGGTTGTTTACTTTGTTGCTTATATTGCCGGTTTAGTTGGGTCCCCTCTTAACAACCTGGCTGTTGAATGGGCTGATAACTGCTCTCTGGACGGTCTTTGTAGCTTTTAAATTTGTAGCTGTTGCCTCAGCAGTTGATGTTGTTGTTGCTTGTCTGTTGACTGTTGCTGCTGTTTTTCTGTTTATCTGGCTAAGTAGGACCGCTGCAAAAGTAAATGCTGCTGTTGTAATTGATATTGGAATCGGTGAGCTATGGTTGCTGCAGTACATGTACTTGTTGGTTTCAAACTTGCTGCTGTTGTCGATTTTGGGCTTCTTTGGCTGTTTGTCGTTGTATTCTTCGCAGTTGTTGGATAAAACCGTTTCCTCACAATCTGTTAATTTCTGGTAGCTGTTGTTGCTGTTAGTAAAGCTTGCTAAATGCTTGACAATTCCGATGGTTAATTCCATTTCGATGATTTGCTGAAAATTTGCTATTTTTCTCTTTCGTTTTGTTTTTTTTTTTTATTTTTTTTGTCGTTCTTTGTCTGAGTTATAGTTTGTTTTGTGCTTTTCCTGGCGAACCTTGGCCAAACGCACAAAAAGTCCACAATGTTTTGCCTGTCCTTCTCGCTGTTATTGTTGTTACTGTTGTTGTTGTTGTTGTTGTTGCTGTTGTCGCTCAGAACGTTGGCTGTGAGCCGCCAACGCTCGACATCTAGCTGGGTTTGTGGCACTAGCTGTTGTTATTGTTGCCTCTTATTGTTTTTGCCTTTACTTTTAATTAATCAAAGTTTTTGCTATACATTGTAATTAACCAAAGTGCGAGTAAAAAAGAGAAAGAGAAAGGGGGAGAGAGAGAGAGAGAAAGCGAGAATTGATTACGTTAGTTTTTCATCATATAAAGCATTTAAGTTTTCATCAGTCACCCTATCAAATAACCACAAAAGTTGGTAGTACACAGACATACACGCATACACACGCAGCTTTGCATTTGTAAGACTGCAAAAAGAAGATTATCAAATTAAATGTACTTTAAATGTTAACAAACACTTTATTTCCGTTTGTCAATAAAAAAGCCAAACATCAAATAAAAGAAAGAAAATAAATATGATTTTTGCGAATACTAATAAAACATAAAACTGTACATGTGAAGAGTTCTCGCAAACTTTGAGTTCTGCTTTGGCAAAATAAAAATATGTGGAGTAAAATGCGAAAAGTTAACATTTTTGGCAAGAAAACAAAATTAGAATGCCGCAAATTTGAGCTAAGCTTGATTGGATCTATTTACGATCAATGCACATACGAAAATAGGAATCTAATCAAAAGCGTAGCCAATCATGCAACGCACAGCATTCGATGCAGTGGATATACCCTATTAAAATGTGACACACGGGTATATTGGTGCAGAGTCTTAATATACAATTATACAGCAATTATTGGATCAGTGCCCTCACATTTAAATCGAAATTCATAGACAATATTTTCCATCATTGCCAGCTAATAAATCAATTGTAAACCAAACTATTTTTAAGGGTATCTCCGATTAGTAGTAGCTTGATAGAGTGCAAAGGCCAACTGAGTTTCGATAGCATTCGATTTTAATAAAAGAAAACAGGAATACAAACAAAAAAGAAGAAAAGCGAGCTAGGGCAATGCAGCAGCCGTTTCGGTTTTATTTTACAGACAATAGGTGCAAAAATCTATTATGGAATACCTTTGGCAAGGCACTGACGAGGTCAACTAGACACGCACACACATACACAAAGTAGCACGGCAAAGGGGGAGAGCGGCAAGGTAGACAGCGGTAAGCGCAAGTCAAAAGGGATGCAGCACCTGGACAACCCACACGACCCTTCATCATGTAGTTGTGTGTGTGTGTTTGTGTGTGTGTGTTGTCGTCGCTCGCTTGGCAAATTGAAAGCGTGAAATTAAATGAAAATGATATAGCTTTGAAATTGAATTCCACAGAAATGCCGAAAGTTCAACCAACGCGCAGTACTCATAGAAAATCGTGTGCCCTATTCGCTGTTGCCAATGCGTGGGGCACAGGGGAAGGGGGCGTGGGGGAGTCGGCGAGGTAGCGACCCAGAACTTGAGCAGCGCGTAATTATCGCGTTTAAATACCTGGCGAGACAGCAAGAGCAGAGATTGGTTTCAGCTCCTAAAGCAAGACTCAAACACGACAAAATCATTGCCTACTTTCAGGCGGCTTCAGTTAGAGGTGTCTTGTGCCTAAATATAAAGCGTAAGACTTTCGGATAGCTGCAATTACAATAGATTGCGACTTGTAAAGCTAATTAGAAATATACATAACGAAGAATCAAAAGTTATTAAAAATCGGTAACAGCAGAAGTTATGAATATCAATCTATGGCCACAATATATAATACTTATAATAACAAATATAATGAATAATTATAATATAATAAATAATATAATAGCAAATTATTATAAAACTAATAATATAAATTTATTGAATAATTTGCAGTTTGAACATTATAAACACTATATGTTCAAATATAATGCGTAGATTCTTGCAAAGTTATGAGTTCTACTCGAGGAGTTTTTTGAACAGATCGATTTTTATATTGCTTAAATCTAACATTTATTTTAAAAAATTGATTTGGGTTTTAGTACATTAAAATCAGAAACGATTTATATGCACGCTCACATTCGAGCTCGATCTTTTTTTGTGAGACAACAAAACGGCATCAAAATACACTGCTAGAAAATTAGCAAGCTTATTGCCAATCTCAGCCATTTGCCTCATTTCCATGCAGTTTGAAAATTATGCAAATGCACAATTGAATTTTGAACAAGTTGCGATTTTAAATGATTTTTTTCAATTAGCCTCCACTTCTTGACCCGATTCGCTGTGTTTTGTGTAATCGAGCTCTGCCGCAGATCGTCGGCCTTTCCGCCATTAGCCTTGACAGGCATCGCTTACAGAGCAAATCAAATGCTCAGCGTGCAGAAGGCGCACTTATGACAAACACAGTACATATAATTTATTAGCTGTGGGGTCATGTCCCCCTGCCCTCCCCCCACCAGGCAACTTTAACATAGACCAGCAGCCGCATTGGGCATTGAGCCGCCATGCAAAACCTTTGCCAGCCCGCCCTAAGCCCGCATGCGGGTTATGCGGCAGTGGTCTCGTAATTGTTCAGATCCGCGAGCACTAAGTAAAAAGTTTTGTATAATTTTTCATAAAGGGAAACAGCAACACCAACAGCAACGGGGCAAACAATAATACCAACTAAATGGGAACTACAAAGGCAACAGAGCTCTCCAAGCTCCAAAGCACAACAAACAAGGCAACTGGGGAATCGCTGGCGTATAAGCAATGTCCATATTATGCGCTTCAGTCCTCAGACTGGGGAGTTGGGCGAGCCTGTGAAACTGGCGTCTGATTTGTTTAGCGTCTGGCCGGGGAATTGTGATTTGAGCGGTTTGAATCTCAGTCAGAAGAGAAGCGCCAAGAAGGGTGCAGAAAGTGCTCGATGTATTTGATAAATTGCATTCAAAACTAGGCTTGTGCAAAGACACAAAATTTGTGAAAAGAATTAACAAAATGTGTTCAACAGCTTTAAGCTAGTTTCTATAAAAGTCTTAACAAAATTAATGCCTATTCATTGCATTGCTTTCATATTGTTGCTTTTACGTAAAAACTCTTGACAGCTTGTAGAACAACAGTGTGGCCAAGCTTTAAATGTGCTTCAATTTCGCTAAGCGACCTCAACTGAAGCTGAGCTGAGCTTTAAAGTCACATAAAAGCTTTAAAAGTGTTGAAGTGTATTTAGGTGATTTGGACTTAAGCTATGTTAAAAGATGAGAGCAAGTGTTTTGAGCTTTAAAGTCATTTAAAAGCTTCGAGTGGGATCTCAACTAATGCTGTTTTATGGGCTGAAGCCCATGTATTGAGCTTAAAAAGCACATATGTGCAAGCTTTGGGTATGATTATGATGGTATGATGTCTGGGCGATCTGAAGTAAAACTATTTCAAAAGTTTAAAGCTTATGAGCTGATTTTTTAAACCGTTTGAATTATATATTGAGCTATTTTGTTGCTAATATTTTCTTATTACTGCTTATTTTATTACTGATTTAACTTGATATTTATTGTTTCGTATTTTATCGATAATCGAATGCGCTATTCAATTGCAGCTGTTTTGGAACTGATCCCCTTTAAAGCCGGTTCCCGTGGCCAACAGATTGAAGTAGCTTATGTCAGACAGATAGGCGTAACAGTTGCCCCGCCCACACAGCATATGAATTGGTTGTCTAAACCCCAAGTCTAGGATAAGGATTGCGTAGGGGGGCGCGGGGTTTGCTGGTCTGTTGGCTGTAAAGTTGACGCCTGTGTGAAAAGTATGCCCAGAACTTGGCCAAAAAAATGAAAACTTTGCGCTGCAG